GTTCTTGCATGAGGCCCATTGTCCCGCTCTTCAGCTCGACTTGTTGAAGCTCAGCTGAGGATTTCCTCTGAACCGAGTGGAAGTGGGTTGGATCACCCAGTGGAAAGACTCAGAAGCCGAGATGAGTTCAGCTCAGTTRCTTAAGAAAAGTTTCAAAGGCTTCYAATAATGACATTAAGGATGTAATGACAACAATATTATCATCATTTGTTAAAACAATTTCTGCTGTCAGAAATAAATAAGTCTGTTTGCTTTATGTGTAATTTTTAARTCAAGTAAAGATGAGTTAATTAATTTGTTGTTTAATTTCCCAGGAGGACAGGCTCATAAGAGGAGGAGAACGTCAGAACCAATAGAGATCGAGGACCGCCTGGAGTCACTGATTTGTCGCGTCGGGGAAAAGGTAAGAAGTTGTWGCACCGTGTGCTGACTCATCACATTCCTTTCTTCTGAAAACAGCAGATTTTTCTGCTCTGCAAAGCTGTTTAATTAAAAACATTTTTTTTCACAGAGCACATCGTCTCTTGAGAGCAACCTGGAGGGTCTCGCGGGCGTCTTAGAGGCCGACCTTCCCAACTACAAAAACAAAATCCTGCGTATTTTATGTTCCGTGTAAGTTCTCACCCGTCGTTGCACTAGTCGCCCTGACGTCGACTGTTCTCAGTGACGTGTTGTGTGTCGACAGCGCCCGCCTCCTGCCCGAGAAGCTGACCGTCTACACGACCCTGGTCGGCCTCCTCAACGCCAGGAACTACAACTTCGGCGGGGAGTTTGTGGAGGCCATGATCCGGCAGCTGAAGGAGACGCTGAAAAACAACTTCTACAACGAAGCCGTTTATCTGGTTTGTTCTCGTCTGTTTCCGCTTTGACTCCCACGCCGTCGTCTTTAACCTGCAGCGTGACGCGTCTGATGTGTTTCAGGTGCGCTTCCTGTCCGATTTGGTCAACTGTCATGTGATCGCTGCTCCCTCCATGGTGGCCATGTTTGAGAATTTTGTCAGTGTTACTCAGGAGGAGGACGTACCCCAGGTATAAAACCACGAAACCACGTTRTGTTTWAAAGGAATCCATGATTAGTTTTAACATTAGAATTTCACATATATAAATTAGCATATATAATTAGCATCATCATATATATATATTAGCTCAGCGCTACACATTCTCCTCTCATCACTGAGGTCCTCCATCCACATGACAGAGAGGGGAACACAAAAATGACAGTCTGCAACTGAAAATATGGATGGAGGACCTCAGTTTAGCGTGTTAGCTTATCGTGCTAGCACCGAGCTAATACATATAAGG